CTGCACAGGCGAGCAGTGGAAGATCTGAGCTCACAGGGTGCTTGGGAAAGTCTGGTGCACACCCTGAGTTTTTTGGTCAGTGCAGTGCTCTCTCTGTGCTGTGCTCCCTTCATCCAGGTGSGCACTGAGGACTCAGAGGGTGCTTACAGGTGTTGTGCTTTGTTTAAAACGGTCCAGTATGTAAGGATGAGGAACAGGTTTTTTTTGCATAGATCAGTTGCCAAATATGCTTCATTGATGAGAGTTACAAGAAACTGGAAAGCAGTGAAAGAAGAGGCTGGGACCCAAACCAGGTGTTTGATGTTGATGTTTGRTGTCCAACTCCTGSCCCCCCACAGRAMCATCCCCRAGACTCACATCATGTTACATCTGGTTTCACAAGCAAATTTGCAAGCTTTGCTAGCACTTACTTCAGTTTTCATCTGACAGATCAATGAGACAATCTGTTGCATTTGCACCTTTTAACAAGATGCTAAATGTRGGCCTGTTTTGCTGCTCCAGTTACAACCCTACTGGTTTTATGTCTGTACTGCTGAAGTTCTTATTAATTTGTGTTTTGTGGTTGGGTTTTTGGGGGGCTTTTTGTCTCCAGATTGGCACATAGATTTAAAAATAGGATTGGGCATGATAGATATAACAATTTGAAGTCTTAGTGCAGCAGTCAGCTTTGTATTGCAGTGCTCTCAACTGAGCCCATGGTGCTGGTGAAAATTCTGTGTGTGTAGTGTGCAGTGTGATTTGCAGGATGAGACCTGCTAGTCTAAATTAGCCATCTCTGCATAGATGTAATGCTGTGAAGTACTAATTAAGCTGAAATCCCTTTGACATCAGTGGGATTAAGTGGGCACTTAAGTGTTGCTGTCAGTTCTTTAGCCCCTTGTGAGGGTTGTCATTTTCTTATGGTGTCAGCAGCTAACAGAAGAAAGTGAGTGTAGTTTTTAAGAATAAACACTTCTACAAAAGGTTAAACTAAACCCACTGAAAATATTAATTAGCATATTACTTTGTTCTGCTAATATTCTGAATGTGCATTAGAGCCAGCCCCAATGTGCCCCAAAAGCTGGGACCAACTTGTAGAGGAATCAAAGGTGCTGAAATGGTGATAGCCACCCTTGGATGTGTTTAATGCAGCTCTTGAGGCAGGCAAATCCCTCCCTAGCAGCTGAATAGGCTCTGAAATACTTGGATGGGCCATATCTCTGGGATTTCCATTTGGTACCCAGAGATGGTTTTATTTTTCAGCTGGCAGCCAGCCCAGCATGGAGAGTAGGGAAGAATAGAGCAAAATGATCCTCATTTCTCAGASAGCAGAGTGATCTCTGTGAAGCCAGGGCATGGGAGGGTCCCTCKACAATGGTGGGAGGATGCAGTCTGCCTTTTGAGACAACCTTTTGCCTCTTTGTCTTACTTTTTGTTAGTCAAGACTATAGAGCCAAGGAAGACAGTCTAAAAAAATTAGGGATAGTGAAGTGTTGGGAATTAATGATACAGTGAAAAATTCAGTGGAGTGTTTGGGATGCAGCAGACTACTCAGTGTAATGCATTTCAGACCATGCTCCTTTTCAACACCTCCAGGATGTTTTATCTGTACATTTTCCAGAGGAGTATATTAAAAGGTTTTGCATTCATTTAGCTGTCAAAAACGCACTGGGCAGATATATAGAAATACTTTTTTAATTTCCTGGAAGATCACTAGTGGTTTTTTACTTTYTCGAGATTATGCCACAGACCAGTTGCATAGAGAATATATTCCATATTCAATTTCTAGCACTAAATCAATACCCTATTTTCCTCATAAATACATGCAATTTAAATTCCCATTTCCKTAATGTATTCCAAATTTCACTCAGTGACTTAGCTACCAATCCTGCGTGGATGAGGATCTTCAGTTGGATGCTGTAAACTTTACAACCTGAAGGGTATAATAAATTTTGCATTTCACATGTGTGAGTTTGGGAAAGAAGAATGGGGCCTCACTTCTGTTGTGAAATTGTGAGCAGCCAAAATGTGCACTTAGCATGAAATCGAATACAGAAAGAAGTGATGCTTGTTAAAGGATGGCCTGGAGGTGGTGATGTTTGTTGTTTATTCCTTTTGCCACGATCAGAACCCAGTGACGGGGCTGCTTTCAGCTGGSACAGAGCACAAGGATGCCTGGGTTCGGGACAACATCTACAGCATCCTGGCCGTGTGGGGGCTGGGCATGGCCTATCGCAAAAACGCCGACCGGGACGAGGACAAAGCCAAAGCCTACGAGCTCGAGCAGGTGTGTCAAAGCTCAGCCTAAACCCACTAGACTGTGTTTTCTTACAGTGGTGTTTGTGGAGATGCATTTGCACTGCTGCTGTGTCTGGGACCTGGCAGGGTTTTCCCAGCCTGGAGTGTGTGTCCTGTTCCAAAAACAGCAACATCCCTGCAGTGTGTGCTGCATGGAGGATTTGAACATCTGGATGGCAGAAAAGTTAACATCTGAATTAAACTACAAATAACACAAAAATGTGTCACACTTCCAGCAGTTGGCTGATGGCTGCTGAGGCTCTGGACATTCCAGTCTGTTCTCCACTGTCCACACTGCTGAGGCTCTGTTCCATTCCTCTGTTGAAAATTGGCCTTCTGAGAGATTTTGTGCCCAGATTTCCAAGCCTCTGTSTGATTAAACCTTGAGGACCCTCATGAAGTGTATTATGGAGCAGAAAATCAGCTCTAGGCTGCTTGGAACTTGCAGCAGTTTGTCTTTTAGGCCATTCTTCCCTGCAAAGAAAGGCTTGACATTTAAAATAGCAGTCTTTGGAATGTGCACAGAGGTTGTACATGGTGTGTTTGATCAAAGCAGAGAAGGTAACAGTCTCCAAACTGATAAGATCTGTGCTGCAGAATTAGAAGGGTTGTAATTCACACAGTTAAATACCAAAATCTGCAGCTGGGTAAATGAGTATCAGTAGTGACAGTGTGGACAGAGGTGCTTCAATGGGAAGTGTTGGTGTCCTCCTGTTGTTTTGGAGTCACYGGGTAAATTTTTTGCTGGCATGTCCTGCTCAAACCAGGGAGATCCGTGGTGACAGAGTAACCTTGATCAGTTTGCATGATCATATTTTGAAACTGTATTTTTGGGTAAAAAGATGGGGYTGATTTCTGTATTTAATGCACAATCTTGTGCTCCTCTACATTCACATCCAAGGCCCTTTCTCTACTGGTCTGTTGATTTTTTCTGTGCTGTATAAAGAGTGGAAGAAACTCTACAGGTCGTGCAGTCGGTGTCTTGCAGTCACCTACCAGTATTTCCACTCAAAAAACTATTATTATTATTATTATTATTATTATTATTATTACAAGACATGGCATTCTTCTCACGTTCTTTAGCTGGATAGAAGAACCACAGAGAGCTGTTCCACTGTTTAGTGAGGACCTTTGGGAGAAGATTTCTTCTTCTAGATAGGGATGAAGGAATAAAATCTGATTACTGTTTTTTGAAAGAAAAAGCATGCAAAACATTTTGGGCAAATATGCATTCTTTTTTACCTTTGGCAGGACATTAGTAGATGGTTTTGAACTTTGAATGTTGTCTGTAAGAGCTGATGAGGACAAAAGTGTCACTGTTGTGTTTTGTTCTGCAGAATGTTGTGAAGCTGATGCGGGGACTCTTGCAGTGCATGATGAGACAGGTAATACCATGGTTTGRGTTGAATTAGTGCATGTTGTATTGACAAAGCATTTCACACATTGAATAAGATGTGGCTTTTGTGTCTTCTKCAGGATCACTTATTTTTATTTATGTGCAGATCATGGTGTAGGGAGTCTTCTTAAAACTCTTGAGCAAAACTCTGACCTTGCTTCCACTTCTTGTCCAAGTAACATTTTGAGATTGTGTTTGCAGCAAATCAGAGTTTTGCCTTTGCAAACTGATTTTCCCCAAGATGCATGTTTRGTTTAGATCTGAACTCAACAAGGTAATTTAATCTTATTTTCCTGTAGAGATGTGAATTTTATTTGAGTCTAAAATCAGAGGGGAGTTTAAGCCCTCTGATCAATCAAAACACTCTGAAGTGAGGTGACAGGACTTACGGCCTCAAGTTTTTCTTCACCTAAGAAAAGCTGTTAATTTTGAGATAATGTGGAGAATTTCTTTCAGAATATTTCAGATTTGAAATTCGTGATGTTTTTTTTTTTAGGTAGATAAAGTAGAGAAGTTCAAACGCACTCAGAGTACCAAAGATTGYCTCCATGCCAAGTACAACTCTGCAACTTGTGCCACGGTGGTTGGGGAYGACCAGTGGGGACATCTGCAAGTGGATGCAACTTCCCTTTACCTGCTCTTCTTGGCACAGATGACTGCATCAGGTAAGCAGAAGACATTTTTGCCTTTTTTTTTCAGCCTTTTCTCTTCCAGTTTTAATTTTAAAAGGAAAAAAAAAGTAGTTACTAGCTTCAAAGATCTTTACATAATTATTACTCAGAAGGAAGTAATGTTTCTATGGAGAAGGTATTATTTACTTGGAATTTCATGTTTACAGTAACTGGCAGAGTTTATTCCCTTAATGTTTATTGGCATCAAATAGRTGAGATATTTAGAGTCACATCAGAGAAGTCTCATGTTGAGAGATTTCATAGAGCATCCTCCTGGAAAACCATGTTTCTTCAAGTGCAACATCAAATGAGGTGCCACTTGTGCCATCAGTGCTTCTTCTGTTCCTGGTGCTGTTTTGTCTTGTGTTCTTAACAAAAGCATGGAACTCACTCAAGAGTAACTATTGCAGTTTTGATACCATCTAATTATTCTCTTGATTTCATTTGATCAGGGCTACGTATTATCTTCACCCTCGATGAAGTTACCTTTATTCAGAATCTTGTTTTCTACATAGAAGCTGCCTATAAAGTTGCTGTGAGTAGTGATTTATATGTAAATCATTGAGCACTACYCAACAGTGGGTGGAAAATCACTTAYTGCTGGAGAAGTAAAATAGGGACTTCTTTTTTTCTGTAAGAAGACATCAGAACCTGTCAGTACTTTACTTTTGAACATTGTCTTTGGAGATTTGGGAGGGCTGTGAAGGATTTACTGCTGTGTGGCTGAGGTRTACTTGTTCTATCTTAATAACAGGGGGTTTTATTGATAATTAATATATTTCTTGATGTCTAATAAAAAGTCTTATGGGCCTTTCTAAAAAGGGCAGGTTCTTAGCAAACCAAATTGAAGTGAAATGTGGAGAAACATTCACAGGGGAGGGATAAAGGGCTTTGTGTGTTCTGTGAGGGCAGGGATTTGTGACTACACCTGATCCTGCTGGGGTATATTTTTATGTGCTGCATTTTAAACATGAGAAAAGTCTCCTTGGAGACTTGGAGCACCCCCGCTTTTTTTTTTTTTTAAAGCAAAAATTAACTGATTTTGTGTAGGGGTGTGGATTTGTTGTGGGACAAGGCAGGGGAACACTTTTTTTTGTATATAATGATGCAATTCTTTCTTGCTGGTGTTGTTGCAGGATTATGGAATTTGGGAACGTGGTGATAAAACCAACCAAGGAATTCCTGAGCTGAAYGCGAGCTCCGTGGGGATGGCCAAAGTGAGAATGTTCCCCTGGCACCTCCTTCATGGCTGCTGTGTTGTGCTTAAGAGCTCTCAAAAACCTGGTGGCTTCCCTTATATATCAACTTCTTGGCCCCTGCCATAGTTAGCTGATTGTATCAGAATTTTTGTTTAGGTGTGAGTATTTTTCAGTGTAAAATCTGTTTGATAATKGCTCTCATCGAAGGAGCTCAGCACAGTTATTCCAGGGATTGCAAGAAGGGTACCAGAATAATTGAATCATGAATCTGACATTTCAGTAAGATGTGGTCTCATAAAGTGGCCTCTGGTTTTGTTTCCCTCTTTCTTAATTCTCCAGCCTCACTATCATATGTGATGTTGTCATTGTAAGATTAAGTCAGATATAAATTCTAAAAAACAACAGCATATATCAGTTTAAGAAAGTTTCTGCAGGTAGTTTAGAGAGAAAAATAAATGAAGGTACACTCAAAGTGGATATTTCTGGTTCACTCATAGTACAAGGTCACAGAGATTCTAAATGAAGCTCTGAAGGCCATAAATGTTGAATTGGCAACTACCTCATTACAGGATGTCTGAGGCACAGACAGAAGACAAATATCATTAAGGGTCAAAGGTGTATTTGCCTTTCAGCAGGATTTGTTAGATCTTGTGTGCACTGCAAGAGGGAGAAATTGCTGGTCTTGGCCTCACACTGATAAAAGAGGCTATTTTGGAATATGGGACAGGAGAAGCATTTTTTACTAAGTACTTCACTATTTAGATGATGTCTCAGTGGAAACCCAGGTCCTGATTTTTTTGCATTGCCTTTAAATTGTTGGAAGGATTAACAGCACATCAATCCTGTATCTTACTAGTTGAAAACAGAAATAGGTTTTCTAAAATGTTCACAAACTTCCCTTTAAAGATGAAAAAAATGTGAAGGAAATGTAATTTCCTTAAGAGGTTAAGCACAGGTGCTAGGATGTATACTTGGCTTAAAAGGTGTTAAATGATTTTGGGTTGTGGTTTGGTTTTCTTTGAAGGCTGCTTTGGAAGCAATTGATGAACTTGATCTTTTTGGAGCTCATGGAGGACACAAATCAGTGATTCACGTTCTTCCTGATGAAGTAGAGCACTGTCAGGTAAAAATAATTCTGCTCTTTCCTTTACAAGGGGAAAACCTACCACCCTCTCCCTTTTGTTTTTAAATAAATGTTGGTTAACTGAGCCAAGAACGCAGTGTAATGAGGATGTCTTCAGGCTACATGTGCACTCTGTTTCTGGATTATTGTGGTGTGGAGCATTCTCATTCTAGCTCAGTTAAAAGTAACTGTGCAGAGAGTTCTCTGTCAGTTTGCAAATAGTGTAGTCTTATTTGCATTTGACATTGCTTTTTGAAGAAGCAAATTGTTTTACATCCCTCTGTTGTGTTCTTGTTTTGCTCAGTCTATTCTGTACTCCATGTTGCCAAGGGCATCCACGTCAAAGGAGATAGATGCTGGCCTTCTCTCTATTATTTCTTACCCAGCTTTTGCAGTGGAGGATCTAAACCTTGTTAATGTGACCAAGAGTGAAATCATATCCAAATTGCAGGTAAGGATTTTATTTTTTTATTTTATTTTTCCAAAGAGAGAAGCAAAACCTCTTTCTAAACCGAAAATCCTAATTAAACAAGGATTGCCAGACTTGGTTCATCTGTTCATGGAAGAGAGGGAGGAAAATCCCTAAAAACTCAGCACATTTATGTTGATGTTATTTGTGAGGTGTGAATTTCCTCCAATGKTGTCTGTTTTTACAGGGTCGCTACGGCTGCTGTCGCTTCCTCCGAGATGGTTACAAGACACCCAGAGAGGTAATTCTGATGGATGTTTTCAGTAGAAACATAAGAAGAACTTAATCTCTTCTTTATAGAGATATTTTTGTTTTATTTATATGAAGGGATGAATTTCTCCATCACTGCTAATACAGTGGATTTGGAGGTAATCCAGATATCCACCCTGCAAAGGACACCTATTTGAGGGAGGCTCAGGGTTTGAAAACCAGCCATTAAGGACAGAACTTGAATAATAATTCTGTAAGAAATTAACCCTTAGATATGCCTGTGGTATCTGAGATGAAATGGTGTCTCTGAAACATCCTGAAATATCTTTGAACYGAGTCAGAGCCAAGATCCTTTGGGTGATGCTTAAATTCTGGGACTAGGAAGGATCAATTGGTCTGGAGAACCATTAAATGAGTTCATGAGTGAATATGAAAAATCAAGAGACTGCATGGAAACTATTTTGGGTGGGTTTACAGATTTCTAAGTTTTAATTTGTATAAAATAGTTTGCCATTATGATTGGAATATAAGTGACTAAATGAGTTGGTTGAATTTTTTAGGATCCAAGCAGGCTGCACTATGATCCTGCTGAGCTCAAGCTCTTTGAGAATATTGAATGTGAATGGCCTGTATTCTGGACATACTTCTTAATTGATGGAATATTTAATGAGGACAAAATCCAGGTGAGGAAAGAAGAAACTGCTTCCAAATTGCAAACTCTTTAGCCACAGTATTTTGTGACTTTGTTCCATGTTTTGGGTGTCATTTGGATACCCCATGAGCAGAGTGGRATAGTGTTCAGCCACTAAAACTGGGCTGAACAGAGTTTATTTGCCTGGTTTTGTCTTATCACCAGCCTGGATGCTGCTTTCACAATTACTTCAGGATGAGAGGAGTTTCTTTTTCCCCAACCTCTCTGGCTTGGCTGCTGAGAACAAGATTTGTAGTAATTTCAGTCTTTTTGTAGATTCAGCAAGAATTTGGGTTGGCTTATGTGGAGCAATTTCATTTTCWCTAATTCCCTTAGTCAGTTCATGCCATTACTGTGCCAGACATCCAGCAGTCATTGGAATAAATTGATTGTAGCCTTACAAAGATATGGTGGAACCTTGGTGAATTAAAGAGCAGCAGGTAGCCAGGACTAAATCTATTCATACCAGAACTTCTGCAGATTGGTAGCTTGAAAGAAATAAAAAATATATCTGATTTAAAATTGCCTGGTATGCAGAGAGATGACTGAACTACTTAAATTGAAACATCACATCAGAAACAATGCAGAGAATTTCAGACCAAAAAKCCCCCTTTTTGTATCAGTTGTAAATCAAGTGAATTTCTTACTGACACCATACATAGAAAATGTTTTCCTGAACACAGTAAAATAATCTGTGAAGAGAGAACAGGGCATTATGTCGTGAGGGTGACAAGAAGAAAGTTTGCTGAAACTTCAGTCCTGCCAATGAAATAAATTCCACATAGGATTTCAAAGGCAGGTGCTGGTAATGTTTGAAAAGTTTCCCTCTAAATGAAAACTTGGAATGGATAGTTAATAAATGGAACAAAGTAAGGAATGTTGTAAAAAGAAAATGTACTACATGTTCTTATCAGTGTGCTATTCCTGTTCATAATTTGTTGTCTAACAATTAATGAGAAAATAGAATTTGCTGTTTAGTGAACTTAGATACTTTTAACAGTTTAAATCTATTTTAAGCTTTCTTTGTGACAAATTTTTATTTGCATCAGTGAAGAGAATCTGATTTCCCAGTCCTTCAAAGCAGAGTTTGGTAAATCACAGACAAGTATGCATGACAAACACTAGGAATTCACGCATTTTTTTGAATATATGAATTTTCAGCAAAAAAGTATTGTCTGAAAGTATTTTAACTTTACTGTTTTAGTTTTGCTGAGTGTAATTTGAATTCTCAGTCTCTTTTWAAAACATTTCCAGGTACAAGAGTACAGAGAGGCTCTGGAAGGAATACTTATWAGAGAGAAGAATGGATTAGTGTTAATGCCTGAGCTGTATGCAGTCCCTCCAGAAAAGGTATTGTGAAAATGCAGCATCCACTGTGGTATAGCACATAAAAACAGCAAGAGGAATGTCACTTTTACAGTTCTTCTGGATCTGATAAATCTAAACCAACAATAAAAAAAGACTAYTGCACATTATTTTAAAAAGTAAGAGACCTCTCACAGCTCCTGCTGAGAATCGGTAAACTTCAGGCTTCCAAATGGTCACATTTTCTTGTAAATATAAAATTCTGTGGAAATATTACAGCAGGTCTAAAATTTTGCATCCTTTAGAGCAAGACTTACATTTGAGTGTTGGTACTGATTTAGGCACTGGAGCTCAACGAAGAAATAAAGCCTGGACTGTCCTGCCTGTCTGGTCCATTGATTGTTTGTGCTGCCCTTTTCCAAAGCATGAATTGGGGGACAGGATTCAGTGGGATTAGGGTTTGGGCTGGGATGTTTTCTTGCTTTGTTGGGTATTTTCTTTTCCCCCATCTTTGCTGCTGCTGTTTCTCTCATTCTCCCATTCCATTCAGATGAGTTTTTGTGCTCTTCCATGCTATTTGCCTTTGTGTCCCTCCCTGGCAACTTCTTCTGCCACTCCAGACCTGTCAGCCCTCACTCAGGGAGGCTGTGGAGCCTCCTGGCTTGGGCTGAGTTGCTCAGCCCAAAGCTGAATCTTGCTCTGTCTGCACATCTGAGGTGGAACTGAATTGCCTTCCTAGTGGGAACGAGCGTGTAAGAGTCCAGAGCCTTCTTGTGAATTTGGATATGATGATAATGAGCTGACAGAAACAGGGTAGATTTTGTCTGTCTATTAAAAAGTACGAGATGGCTGCCTGAAAACCCTGGGAGGGTTTTTGCCCTGCCCTCATTTTGCTGTATACAGCAAAACTAAGGCAGTTTTTCTAAATTAGCAAGTCTGCTTTTAATTTTTCCATTTACCAATCTTGCTAACACAGGAAAGATGGAATAGCCTTAATACTGGAGAGCACCTTTGCTTCATAAAGCTGGGTAGACATTAGAGGAGTTGTTAAAAATGTCATTTTGGAAAGCAGACACTCATTGACCTGTGAGCAGCCCAGAGGGAAGGCAGCAAAAGCATGGTGAGAAAAGTGGAAGAGCAATAGCAAAGCTATAATTGATGTAGAGTCCCCACTCCAGCTTTGAAGGGTGGGAAGAGCTGCAAAAAAAAATTATAATTCTTGTCCTTGAAAATGTGTAGCCTTGAAAGTGAAACCAAGACATCTCCATTTCAGTAATAAAGGCAGGCCGGAAAGGGTTAATGTTAGACTGTATGTCTGCAAATGCTTATGTGTTACTGATTGTTCTTCATAACTTCAGGGTCATTTTCTTGCTTGTGTATTTGTTTGCAGGTGGAGGAGGAGTATGAAAATCCTCACTCAGTAGATCGAGTCCCAGTGGGGAAATTGCCACATCTTTGGGGCCAATCATTGTATGTCCTGAGCTGCCTCTTAGCAGAGGTAATATTAATTAATTGTTTCTTGCATAGATCAACTTGTATTTCATTTGCTTTGAGATGGCTTGTGCTTTAAGTACAGTTTGGTTGACAGGTAGAAAACAATGTATTTTTCAGTAAAAACATAAACCATGAAAGGCTGACTCTGAACTTTCAGGAGCTTGCTTGCTTTTTCTTTTTTTTTGTTTTTTTTTGTTTGTTTTTTTGTTTTTTTTTGTTGGGGGTTTGGTTTGATTTGGTTTTTGTTTTGTTGTACTACTTAGTGGACAGTGTAGACAAACCAGGCTTTAAGTCTTGCTGTCATGAAAAAAATATGAAAGGCTGTTAGGATTTATTCTATATGGCAGGAGCCTTTTGCTTAAATTCAGTTTGTTTCCTGACTTTTCTCTTTCTTTTGCATTTATTCCAGGGATTTCTTGCTGCAGGTGAAATTGATCCCTTGAACAGGAGATTTTCCACTGGATTTAAACCTGATGTTGTGGTACAAGGTGGGGGAGTTTTGTGAACATTCTGTGCAAATTGAATCGAGTGGTGACAAAGTCCTTGAGTACAGGAGAGATGAAAGATGTGTTTTAAAGTTGTGGAATTTTTTTTTGCTTTGATGACACTGTGAAGAGGAGAAAGGGATTATTTGCATAGCTGCCTTTTTCCAGGTGGGAAGATCAGGTTTAACATACTTTGAAAAAAAAAAAAAGTTAAAATTTTAAGATATGTCAGGAATTGGTGAGTGGCAAACTTAATCTTGTAGTGAAAAGGAAAATATAGTCAGCTCTTAGAAAGAAGAAGCAGAATTTGCAGGAGATGGATCAGGTTAWTTAGGAGGAGGATCCCTGCACACARAGGTGAAGCAGCCAGACTTTAACAGCTTTTGGCTGCTGCAGGGAGGGGCCTCTTTGGTTTGTGCAACAACAGCCAGAACCAGAAAATGAAGTAGAGAGCAAACACCAGCACATCAGGTCTAGAGACTTCTCCAGGCCTGGTTTATTTATCAGGCTCATTCATCAGGAGCTTTGTCCATGATCCTGTGACCTGGGCTGGTGCTGGCTCACCCCTGGCTGGTGTCTAAGGGATAGAATTTCATTCCATTGTGAAATGCTCCATTTCCAATAGTAATAGAAAAGCTGGTTTGTTTTTAGCATTCTTTGACAAGTACCCMMAWTACAAARMAGAATTCTGCATTGTTAGTCCCAARCCAATAAWACACTTACTATGGGYAAAASCTCAGGTGGGMTAAGAGMTGASTTGTGGGACTGGATTGTAAATCACTSTGATTTGGGATTTTTTTTTCCCTACCTCTGCCATTTTATGGCCTCTGAAACATTTATTGCTGTACAAGTGACAGCTCCTGTTCCTCAGTGACTTGGCTGCATTGCTCTGGTGTTCTGTGTTAAAATAACAAAGATTTGCAAGTCCTGTTCCCCCTTCTTCTGTGGGGGATAAGCCCTGTGTTCTAAAAGAGTCTGTGATCCTGGTGCCTCACTGGGGGTACTGAAAGAATTGGGAAAAGCTGATAAAACCCCCAAGCACGAGTTTAACCTCAGCAGGTCTGACCCTGCTTTGAGCAGGAGATCTGAGACCTCAGAGGACCCTTCTGACCTGAATGACCCTGTGGYCCAAAGTGGACAGGAATGACAAGAAATACTGAGAAACAGAGAATCAGAACCTGCCAGATGCCCTCTTACAATCCCTTTTGATTTCACAAATCCACAAATCAAGAAAAAATTGAGGCCTTTGTGCCTTTTAAGTTAACTAAATGTTGAGAGGTGACAGTTGAGACAGTCATTTAAAGAGTAAAATGTTGGTTTTTACATGTGTTTTTGTTTTTTGTTATGCAGTAACTGTTCTGGCAGAATCCAATCAAATTAAGAATCTCCTGCAAGAGCGTGGAATCAATGTTGAGAGCATTGCTGATATCCATCCCCTCAGAGTGCAGCCAGCTCGCATCCTCAGCAACCTCTACACCATGCTGGGTGAGTATTTCACATGGAATTCTCTCCACTGCCAGGCAGGGTTTGTTTTTAAGAAACTTAACCAACTCAGAATTTCTGTTTTAATAAGGAACTTGAACACGGGAAAAAAAAAAATTGCCTCATTAGAAATGGTGGTGAAAATTCCCTGTGCCCTTGRAGGCAGAAAAAACTGACTCCTTTTGTCCTCCAGAAACTACTTCCACAGAGAAACCTGTTTTAGAAAAAATGTCTGGAAAAACACAGAAGAAAAAATGTATTTTTCCTTTGAGAAGTAAGAGTATTTCTCTTCTAAGCCTGGAAACTGGGCAGTGTGGTTTTTATTCTTCCCAGCAGGCAGTCTGGGAGATTTTCTGCTCCAAATCAAGGAAGTTCTGCTGCTATCAGAGCACCTTTGGGCTGTCAGGTTTTTGCTAAAGTTCCTTCCARTCCTGAGCTGAGCTGCTGAAGCTCTGTGTGTGTTGCAAACCCAGAGACCTTTAGGGATTTTTGAAACTTAGGATTTTAAGTACATCCCACTTCCTTAGCAGTGGTGCTCAAGCCCTGTTTTCCTCAGAGCCTGAATTGTTTAAATAAATGCCCAAAAACTCTGACTGGTTCTAGTTGTGAAGTCTTTTTATAACTGGCTCTTGACAATCCTTGCTGCAATTATTTGGGTCTTGGTGGAGAGTTTTTTATATGTATTCCCAGTTAAACTTAGTTTTACTTCTTCAAGCATGCCAGCAGCTCATGACTCAAAATTGTGGGTAGTGCTGTAAAATCAAATTGAGATGGGGTGACTCAGCACTGGTGGATTCCTTTACTGTGAGGACAAGGGGAGCTGTGTCCTGCTTCTCTGTTCCCACAGCAGTTTGGTTATAGATAATGCTGAGGCTGCTTATGGGGTGAATTTTTTTTTGTTGTTGTTGTTGTTGTGGTGTTTTTTTGTTCGTAGGGTTTTTTCTGTTTTAACAAAACAAAAAAAAAAGAGTTGGTTTTTTTTTTTTTGAAGTATCCAAAGTAATGGGGCCTCCAAAGAAGTTCTGCCCTTYACACAGAGAAAGGAAATTGTAGATGTTGTTTTTGGGAAAGAACCCAGCTCTTCATCTCAAAGTTCTTTAAAACAGAATGAAACATTTGGARGGCTTTGCTGAAGCTTACATTGATTTTATTATAATTCATAATAGCTTTCTTTCACTAGTAGGGGTGAGTTAATAGGATTATTTGACACATTGTTTTTGACAGTGACTCTTTGGGATTGTTCACAGTAGTGTTTTTTCAGGCCCATGGTTTGTTCTTATTCCTTGTCAGAAAGATTCAATCAGCTCCTGGTGCTGCTGTGAAGGTTGTAGTGTGGATCATTTGCTAATAAGCTCTGCTGAGAAAAGTGCAGCTTATTAAAGCTKAACAAAAATCTGTTGTTGTGTTTGGATGTACTTTGTGTGTTGATTTAGCCTGCAGTCATAATGTAATGTCCTACATTGAAGAATTGCCATTTCGGTGTGATGTTGATGTTTTTGTAGTGTCACATCTGTTCCTTGGTGGGGAAGCTTTGGGTGCTGTGCAATCACAATAATTATAAGACCAAATCCATGGTCAGTGAAGCCAAAATTTTAGTTTTTAATTAGGTCTTTGATGGACTCTGGCTATTGCATTGGCTTGCTGCAAAACCAACCAGTCTGCAGCTTCACACTCTTGTTACTTGTTTTCTGCCTCGCTGGTGTTAATGAACTAGATTCTCCTGTCTCAAATGGTTATTTTGAAATAAATAAACACAGAAAATGTTAGCTGAGATTCTTTCCTTTCTCTTTTCTTTTAGGCCGGAACAAGAACATGAAGTTAAGTGGGCGACCACACCGCCACATTGGAGTGCTGGGCACCTCCAAGCTCTATGTGATCAGAAATCAAATATTTGCTTTTACCCCTCAGGTAAGCCTGTAAAGCTGCCAGGAAATCACTCCTTTCTTCATGGTGAATCATTAGTGAAGCACTTGGCTTTTCCCTGCTGTCACTGTATTTAGGTGGAACAGGGCTGACAGGGGAGCTGTGCTTTATTTGTAGGGTTTTTAAGAGCATGGGATGACCAGCACAGTGGAACTGCTGATAAATCTTTTCTGTCATCCATACAGTCTGATTTCTTTGACTTCTGACTGAGGAGAACACAGCCAGTCAATAGTACAAAGCTGTTCCTGACCTCTGCCCACATTCTGGTTAATGACAGTTGCTGCAGAAAGAGATCACTTAATAAATCTTTCTGGTGATTGCTTGGATGAAAAATTCAGTATCACATAAGTGTGCCAAATACTGTAACTGTTAGGAGGTGAGGATATAATCTGTTCACTACATTTTTGAAAGGGCCAATAGTGCAGAGAATTGAATGCTCTGTCTTTGTTTCCTCTTTAGTGTGTTTTCTCAGTGTTGCTGGAAGTTTGGATGCTCACAGAGTTAAATTATATATAATAATATATAATAAATATATTATATTTATTTATATATATTTATATATATATATAAATTATATATTTATTTATATATAAATATTATATTTATATATTTATTTATATATTTATTTATATATTTAAAGAATTACAATACACTTATTCCAATAGAATTATTCTGCAGTTGGTTCTAGATGGCCAGGGAATCACCTGCTCCAAGCAAGAACCACTGATGCAGAATAAAGAATGCATCCACCCTTCTGAATAGATGTTTGACTAATAAAGTTTTTAATCTCCCAACTGATGACATTCAGTGGACTCTGTAGAAGGCTTCTGTACTGCTTCATAATGCCCAAACAAATCAGATTTGTTGCAAAAAATGTAGATCCCTTTTCATTCTTYCCCATGTCAGTTGATCACAAGGAGCTTTATAATGGTATTTGTTGTGATACTTTCCTGTACTAATTTTCACTTTTGTAAATAAGGGAGAATTTCCTTAGAGATGTGGTATTTTTTCAAAAACCCAGTATTCCAGCTAAAATCTTGTGATGTATCAAATAAAGACATACTTATTAGTAGATTCCAAAATGGCATTCATCTTTACATTAGCAACACAATGACAGTTCCTGCTTATTCCATGTTTCACTAAAACCTCCAGAACATTTTCCATTGTACTTTATTATAGCCAGACTCTTCCCTTGACTTTTTTTTTTTTTTTTTTTTTTTGGGGTGGACAGAGTTAATGTTTAATGTCACCTTTCTAAGGTTAGCATTTAAGTCATCTTGTTGATCTTGACTTGTGTCCACAGATTTTGTGGGTTTGTCATTTGTATTTCATTCTCTTTTCTGGTGAAAACATTGATTAGGTATGGGGCAAAGGGTGGCTTCATTCAAATACAGTCCTTCTGAAAAGAATGGTTAATAACTACCTTTTGAGAACAATTTTAAAAGTATTTGTGCCTCCTCAGATATTTTTGTTCAGCTCACAAATGTGAAAATTTGCAGAAGTTGACAGGTGTCAGCCATTTTTTTAGACTTACATCTGATTRCTCCAAAGAACAAAGCTGGACTGATGTGCTAAGATGGTTTTTTGACCATCTTACTTTATCATTTTGTAATTATCTTGGCTGTGTCAAATTTGCTTTGTTTTCCTTTGCTTTCAGGCACTGAATTGGCCTGACTTTTTAAATGGCTCTTCCTTTGTAAAGATAGGCAGTGTTTCCTTCTCCCTRGATTTCTGGGAAATGTTTTTCCTGAATTACCAAAGATAATTGCAAGTGGCTCAGGGATGGTTTTGGCTAATTCCTGATTCCTTCTGTGAAGAAATTCCCTGGACTTTGCCAGCTCAAGCTTACACATTCTTTATGCCTCCCCAAGGCTCGTGGGCTTCTTCACTTGTGTTGTGACTGCTTTGATGTGYTTTCCATTATTTGTGCAGAATCTTTGCTTCCAGCTCCTGAAGTGGCTGTGATAGTCTCTTACTGTGGATTTTGGCTTTCTGCTGTAGTGGGAGCAGCATATTTTGCCACTGTGCATTTCATGTACCTTTTTTCCTCAGTAATTGCAGCTTTTCTGTGTTCTGCTTGACTTTGGGATGGTTCCCAAGACCATACAGTAGCTGGCTCCCAGTCCCCAGTGTGCACTTGACCCTGTTTAGTGGGTTTGGTGCTATTGTGAACCTTTTTTTTTTCACATTTGGAGTACTTCCATCTTCCAGATCATAGTTTAGTGTAACTGCTCTTTGGGAAGATGCTGCTTCATGGATGTGATTGCTTCAGTTTTGTTTGTATGTCTTACTGTGATGGTCAGTCTGCAGGTTTAAGAAAATGGACTTTACACAAGAGTCCATGCACAAATAGACTCTTGCACAAGCCTGGATTTCTTTTTCCACAGTCTCAGGCCTTGTTAGGCTAATTCTGGTGGTTTGTGTTGTGGTCAGTAGTAGCTCATAGGGCTTTTGTGAGTGATTTAAGGGAAGAAATAGAAAAAAAAAAAAAGAAAGCACTGACAAGTACCCCAATGTTGTATTTTTCTCTTCTCTAGTTTACTGACCAACATCACTTCTATCTGGCTCTAGACAATCAGATGATTGTGGAGATGCTCAAGACAGAGCTGGCTTACCTCACTTCTTGTTGGAGGATGACAGGGAGACCAACCTTGACATTTCCCATCACCCACACAATGCTTGGTATTCTTCATTTTCTCTGTTTCAAGCACAGCAGATTGCTGCAGGGGTGTAGGATGGATGTTGGTTTGAGAGGAGACAGCAGGACTTCCAACATCAGAAGTACAGTTTCATTTTCTCATGTGTATGCTGAATTTGGGTGACATGGTGATATTTAATTTTGGTTTTACTCCCCTTTTATATCCTTCCATCACTCCATCATCTCCATGCTATTTCTGTCTAAAGAAATTTCATWGAAATCCCTTTGGAACTTGTCTTGAATGAGTTGTTTTTTGTCTTTAGAACTTGTCTAGGTGTTTTTGTTTGCTTGTTTGTTTGGGATGTTTTAATAAGCCAGTATTGATAGGAGTTGTGTTCTAAATTTGTCTGATTTACGTTGTAGACAGTACCCAGTAATTCACTGTATTTGGATATGGTAATTTGAGAATATTGGTGATGTTGGTAATCTTCAACTCTTCCATTATTCTTTTTCAGTTGATGATGGTACTGACATTCATCCAGCAGTTCTTGCCACAATAAGAAAATTAGAGGATGGTTATTTTGGAGGTGCAAGGTAATGTCAGAATCACCRAATTATTATCTCCACGATTTTGTAAATTAAATCTTACAAAAGTCTCAGTTTTGATCTTGTGCTAGAATGCTGCAGGGAAGGAAGTTTCAGCTTTAATTTTTATGTGGCAGTCAAATGGTAGCTGAACCTCAGGTGCAGTGGAAAAGATCTGTCTCCCAAAAAGTGTCCCATCTCTGATTGCCATTAATGGATAAAAAAAAAAGAATGTCAGATCTTTGGAAATAGGAAATCTTGACTCTGGCTGGRCTTCTGTTATTAAAAAGTACAGTACTTTCACAGTTTTTGGACATGATTTAAACATTAATTACACATAGATGAATTGTAAAATATGATGCCATAGTAGCACCCTATTCTCTTTTTATTTGCCCTCTCAATCAGTACCTTTTTTTGACAATCACATCCTGTCATGGTTTAACTCCAGTCACCAGATCAGCCCCACGTGGCCTCTTACCCACCCTCCTTGGTGGGATCAGGGAGAGAATTGGAAAAACACAAATTAAAACACTGGAGATAAAGTGAATTGAGATGAAGAGAGTTTAGTGATTAAAGCAGAAACCACACATGCTGTGTAAGCTCTGCTCAGCACTAACTGATACATCCCTGTGGTGTGTTATCACCCTCTTTCCAGCACAAATCCAAAGCAGAGCTCCACATGGCTTGACTGGAGAAAATTCATTCTATCCCAGCCAAAAGCAGCCCAGATGTGCTCTGGTTTTTGGCAGCTTCCAGTTCTGTGAAAAGATGCTGCCATTCATGGGGCTTTCTCATGAATTATCCTTGGAGCTCAGGTCTTTGTTCAGGATCTCTGTCCAGATGAACATCCAGCACTCTGCAGAATTAGACTTTGAGTTTGGTCTGGAGGTGTTACCAAAACCTGGTTAAATCATGGTTAGTGCAGTGAGYACCCAGCTGGATCTGCAGCTTTTGTTTTCCTTTTTGAATTTTCAGTGTCAGTTTTTGTGGCTTTATAGTTAACCAGAGATGGATTGAACAGCAGATTTCACAAATTGTGGAGCTGTTGGAAGCTCAGTGAGCATTAATCAGTGTCAGAATGGTGGATGGTAATGCTCTTTGCCATGTGTCCCCTTCTGCAGGGTGAAGATAGGAAAGCTCTCAGAATTCCTCACCACCTCTTTCCATACAAATCTGAGCTTCCTCGATCCAGACTGTGACCTCAAACTGTTTGATGACAGAAATGAAGACTGTAACAGTCCTGACAGTGAATATGGAGACTACCCAGCAGATTTCTGTGAAAAAGGTACTGGTGTTTTTCCATTTGCTGTTTTTAATTTGTCAGGTTCTGTCAGCAGTTCCTGGGTTTGCCCACAGTGCAGAGTCTGTTCTGTCACATCTGAGGGTCATTTGGGTTTCTCACACATCCCCTTGAGGACAGGACTGTATGGCTCAATCTGGAGAAGGAATTCAAGTGTGTTCTGCTGCATTTGGAGTGTGGCATTGACTGTAAGTGCTGCAGTAAAGCTGAGTCTGGAGAGTCAGCAGATGGGGAGCTGTGCAAGAGCTTAGAGGGAGGAAGAGAAATCATAGACAAGAGTTTGTGTGGAAGAGGTGATAGAATCTCAGAATCAGGCTGGAAGAGATCAAGTCCAACTGTGTTCTGCAATCTACCAGCAAGATAAAACCCCCTTTTGATTCCTTTCAAACAGAAAGCTAGTAAATGTAACTGTTTCCAGTGTTAAATTTTTTTTTTATTTTCTTTCCAACTTGTTTGGCTTAAAAATATCTTCTTTATGGTATTCTTGCATTTTTGAGTGCCCTTCTATATAAGCATATATAATATGCTATTCTATATAATACACTATTCTATATAATAGAGTGGTGTGTTTGAATAAGAAAGTGGTGGTAAATAGTGATTTTTACCTTTAAGAAACCTTTTTTTTCTGCATGCTGCATTAGATAGCCAGGATGAGCTGGATCAGTATATAAATGATGTCCTGCAAAGCACTGCACTGAAGTCATATCTGCCTCCAACTTCAAAGACAGCAAATCAACCTCCTGTGTTCAGTGCAAACCATTCCACWGAAGAGATCCTGTCCATGATGGCCAAGACAAAGGGCTTGGAAGTCCCAGGTATTTCTTCCTATTATTTATTTTGTGATAATAAAAGCAAAACTGGTTTGGATGCTACAAGGGGTAAGTTCAAGTATTTAAAACTATGTCTTTTGACATACTTGTGCCATTAGTTCTTTCTTCATAGAGAAGAAATAAGAAGTTATTTAAGAAGTAAGAATGACTCTGGTGCTGTCATGTTCCCACATGTCATGGTATATACATAGAAAATCTCCAATGAAATGTAACATTTAATCAAAATTAATGTTATGGAAGCTGCTACAGCTTCTTAGTTGACTGGAATTTTAGCACCTAAATCACTAAATTGTTTTTTCTTTTATAAAGGCAGACAAAATGTACTTTTTAATTTTAATAATGTTTCATAAAGTTTAACTTTAGTGTAAATTAATAACTTCCAAGATTTTCTGTTAGTCTTTTCTGCAGTCTTTCATGTGCTGCATCATCTGATCCTCCATTGAATTCAGTGTATGACATTAACAGAACACTAACCTGAATTTAGCTTTATCATTTTAATTTGTCCCAGAGTTCCACACACATCTCAGAGGCACTGCCTCTGGATTTTGGCTCTTGGAGGAATTTCTAGTAGCCAAACTGCTTTCTGTAGGTGTTTTTGATTTTCATGTTACTGAAACAGCCTTTTTCCYTTCCATTCTGGTGACTTTGCTCCCCAGCCATGTCTGTGTCTCTTCCCACCAAAGTTCTGAACACACACCGAAAGTCTCTGAATCTTGTTGATAATCCTCATTTCTTTGAGACAAAGGTAAGCTGTGGGAATTTTTATCATGTTTGTTGTTTTAGGGTGCACTGCTGTAGCCTTTCCTTATGTTTTCTTTCCCAGCCTTAAGCCAGATCTCATTTTCCTTCACAGACAAGCCATTCTGTTCAAGGCACTCCCTTATTTTGGAAATTAATTTTTTGGCTGGATGAAGGTTTTTTTAGTCAAATAGCCACTATCAAGTGGAACRTTTTTAATTGCATGTGCAAAACAGAAAATAACATATTGGTTGGTTATTTTTGAAAGCCAAAAGTGAAGTCATCATCTTTAGTTGTAGCTGAACAACCAGAGGACGGGATGTTCACAGCTTTAGAGATGTTTTCCAAGAAATGCCACTTATATGAAAATCTGGGCAAGAGGGAATTTGTGCATGTCCTTAAGGCACCAGCCAAATCTCAAATCCCACCTCAAGGAATGATGATGGGTTTATGTTGGACACTTGTTTTTTTTTTGGTATATGTGACCCTCTGCTGAGAATGGCTGTGTCCATCCTCCTGAAGGATTCTGCTCTGTTTATGGAAATTGTATTTTTAGGATTGTATAAATTGCTGAGCAGCTTGTTAAACAAAACTTCTTTTCATCCAAGAATTCACCACAGGATTGCATCATCTGATTAGTTAACATTTTATTTTCATAAGCTTGGAAACTTTATAAGGGCAATATTTACCTTCATAAAGCACCACTTCCATACAGATTCGAAATAGAACTCAAAAAGCACTGAATTATTTCAGCTAAAAAATAGGATAGTATCTCTTTGCTTTTCTCTTTACAGGTAACATAAGATGACATGAAAACCATGCAGATAATCAATTTTCTTTGTGTGATTTTTTTT